CCATATCCAAGGGATAGCCACAAAGAAATGTTCTTCAATCAGTGCTCTCGGTGTTCATTCCTGCTTTGTAGAATCACAATGTTTCCCGCTCTTTATGACTTCAGAGATCACAATTGATAATGGCTGTAATACCTTAGAAAAAAAAATAAGCCTGTGTTATGTCCAAAAATGAACTTGTAAGTTTTCTTTTGTGCTTCCATTCACTAAATGGAATAATGCAGCAACATGTTCTGAAATGTTTGGGGTTTTTTTGTTTGCATATAGCACTTCTTTCTGTTAACCACATGAAATGTAGAGTAATAAGAGTACTGTCTCCCCCCCCCCCCCTTCCATTCTCAGTATATGAATGCTATCTGCTTGGACAGAGAGCATCTCCATGTATTTTGGAAACCTTGGGGTGTGATTTTCAATTAAACTTGACCTAGAAAGCTCATTCACAGCTAGAAGCACTGTAGAAGTTTTTTCAGTTCATTTTCATGCCTTTTGTAGGCTAGCTTCTGGTATAAGATTCTTTAAAGTACTAATAAAAATGGATTTGACATGGCAGAGCAGAGCAGCCCTGAGTGACAGGTGTTTCTGCAGATATAATTAACAGATATTATTTTTAAAAATAACACAATGTAGAAACTAGTAATCCAAAATTCTATTGAAAACCTATCTTGTAGAGGAAAAAAATGCAAATTTTATGACAAATGTCGAAGAGAGGAAAGCAATAAAATGTATTACATTACTTCTAAGGAAACATGTTCTACAGTCTGACAGAGAAGGAATGTTTTCAGTGTAATTTGGCTAATGTTATCTGTGAGATAACTGTGAGATAATATTTAGATCAAAGCAATAAATGACAGCTAATAACATTCCTTTCAGTTATAAAACATGTCACACTGGTGCTTGAAGAACTGGGAGAAGCTGCTAAATGTCTATTTGGTCTTTCTGAGAATTTCTTTTGTGAAATCTTTGCACCTGGAAAAATGTTTTCAAATTTAATTTGGAGAAAGAACATGAATTGGTCTCGGATAATCTAATTTAATGAAATTTACTAAAGACAACTTCAACTATTTTTCCCCCATAAAGCATGCATGGTCCTGTTGATCATTTGCACATTGACAGTGACTGCAGCAGAAGCTGAAAGACATTACAGTAAATTGGCCCTAATTAAAAACTTAGTTTTCTACTGTGGAACAAAAATGATTAAGCTACAAACAAGTTCTGGTGAGCTACATGTCCCTGAAGGAGTGGGGGCAGCTTTGTAGCTAAAATTGGCAACCAGACAATGGATCTTAGCTGGTAAAATCTCTCTGGAGAAAGGAGAGATTGTGGGATCACCTGTATGTAATTTGGACAGCTGCTACTCATGAATAAACCATAGAAACAGGGTTTTTGTGATTGGCTGGTGAGTGGAACATCAAGTTGAGGGATTCCGACTATGCCTATAATCATAATGTAGCCTATGTGGACATGAAGCTTGGCTGAACCTCATTACTTAATCATATTTGGAACAGCAGTTTGATGGCATTCCCTGGGAGAGTTCCATTCAATCTTCCACAAAAGACATTTTAAGTGCAACTTTTAAGGACTTAATAATTTTGGAGAATAAATAGTAAAAGGATGATCAGAATGTTATTTTCGGGAAACTATAAATAGACTAAGGATTAAGCGGACTTGAAATGGGATTTTGAAATTAATTGAATGAATCCTTCCTGTAGGAAAACAACTCATGTTTTGAATTCTGAAAAAAAAAAATGATAGGATGGGATTTGAAGATTGTTCACTAGGAGAAGCTAAAAGGAAGTAAAGATTATATTAAAGGAGAACACATATTTGACTTGTTGACACAGAATGAAGAAAAATACCTTAACATTGAATGTACTGAAAGACATATGTGGAAAATGGACTATGAATGGTGTTACAAAAAAGGAACAAATTCTATTGAATAAGATAAAAATAGATCTATCTGAATGTGGATTTAAAAACAATAGGTTATAAGAATGATTTGTAAAAAATCAGGTAAATGAAAGTGTGAATGAAAATAGGAGACATTTTAATTAGAAGGGACATAACCAATCAACTAAACATGACTCTGATTTGGATAATTTTCCCATATCAGATCTATAAAAGAGTTAAAAGTGTTAAAAGACTTCATGAAAAAGGGATAATGAAAAAAAGAAAGAAAAATCAAATTCTAGGACATTATTTGAAGTGATTAAACAGCAAGACTGTTAAGAATAAAGAGAAGGAATATAAAGTTGATTTATAAGATCAACATTAAAATATTATTATTTCTAATAACCCTTAATGGAATTTGCTGAATGGTGAGATTTTAAGGCTTTGTCTATATTTATGAGATGTGACGGGTACAAAGAAATTGTTTGTTGTATTTTAAGAAAAAGTGATAAATTGTTAAAATTATTTATGCTTTTTGAGATGAAGGGGGAAGTTATTTCTTTCTATTGCTTTTTTCTCTTTTTGTTATAATCTTTCTTTTTTCTTTTTGCAGTTTTTCTTTCTAATACTTTATTTTTTGTACTTTATATTAATTTTTATATGTTTAATATTTAATAAAAACTGTTTGAAAAATGATTAAACCACATTTACTAATTTCCATGGAATATACATTTGCAATAGAATTTATCTGTTGAGAAATAATACTGTACATTAATTTACAATGAAAACTTTAAAGTTAATAGTTCCATTTACAAAAAGACTTGCATTGTTTGCATCCCTGTTGGTCTATTTTATTGAATAATAAAAATAAAATAGAATTTAATACAAACCTTTCCAGGATCAAGCTATTATTAAGAACAAAATTGCCAATTTCTCCTTGCCAGTCTTTCCCTAAAATTACAAGGGAGTCAATAACGTGAGGTAGAATGAAGATAAAATCATTTTCTTTATGATTTATGAAACTTTATAATATTTACATCTAATATAAAGGCAATGAAGATGTGTTGCAAAATAAAGGCAGAAAGGAAGGAGGGAGGGAAGTAGGAAGGAAGGAAAGAACAACTTTTAAAAGGTAATGATTCCTTCCCTCCTGAAGCAGATATTACTTAATGAGGGAAGTAATATTTGCAAGAACTAACGGACAACGCTATTGAATGAATCAGACATTCCTACCATAGGCAATGGAGGGAAGGGCACCTGAGCTGTTAAAACTGCAAAACCTGCTACTTAAGCAAAGCAGGAAGAAAGCAGGTGCCAGTCTCTATGTTGTGGGACCCTGCTTCCAGACTTTTGGATCTACCTGCATAGATGTATCTTCTTTGAAATGATAATGGGGATGTGATCAATAGGTTACCAGGATAATATGAATGACATGATGAGAGTCATGCAAAGTCTCGTGAAAACAAGCTAATTACTTTCATGAGATTTGAAATTCAAATGAATATTTATTGGTTTTTATATACAAACAAGACTGCTTAAAATAAAAATAGAAATTTAGCAGATTTTTTTCCTTTTGATACTTATTTCATTTAACAACGTGATGGTGGATTTTTGGATCAGGATATCACATATAATATTATTCTATTTTTTCTTTCTTTCTTTTTACAGGCATTCCCCTGTAAATGCTCTCCAATAGCAGCCATAAAATGTTTTTTAATAATGCAGCATTACAGTTGTCAAGGCAACTGCTTCTGGAGATAACTTGTTTGTTGATTCCTAGTGGGCCTGAATAATATTTTATAATAAGGTGACAAATATTGCCAATGTCTAAATTTAACAGAATTGTAGTGCAATGCAATTTAATAAAACAGAAGTTAGTTCTTGAAAAGATTTCAAAATTGCTGATTCATTTTAAATGTAGCTTCAGTTGGAAATATTTGGGTGTTACCAGTTCCTTGACAGAGTGAACAATTAGAAGTAGTAGTCCATCCAGGACAGAATAAATTATGTATGAAAATAAACTTTGAGTAATCTTTTACTTCTCCTAGATAAGTTATATAGCCACACATTAAATACGTTCATTTGATTTGTGAAAATTTGGATCCCAGTTCAGACTGGATTTTATTTTTGTACTCAAATTTTGACCTCAATGAAGCCTCAATTCTCTCATTTGCTCCAGAGTCCTGAGATGCAACAAGGAGACTACAAGTGATAGATATAATAAAAGCAAATGGTGCTAAAATGATGACTTGTGACTCTTGAAATCCAGAATGCTGCAATTCAGATGGATCTAGAAACATTTGTTTGTTGCTATGGCAGTGGAGAAGACATTTTTAAAATTACATTTCCTGTAGAAGTGCCTCCTCAGAACCTACACAGGGAAGTGATAATTCATTTCTTTGGTGTATGCTTTTAGAAGGATAAGTCACTATCTCTGGCCTCAACTTCCAAACCTAGAAGATATTATTTTGGATGTCTTAGTATTATCATAGATTTTCCTGATCATATTTCAATATCAATAGCATATTTCTTTTTTTTATCTTTGCAAACGAACTTTATTTTTTAATAAAGCTACATAGACTGAGAGATATAAGATCACTTATACTTTTAGCAGAAAATATGAAATAACTGCATTTAACATTTTGTTGGCTATTGAAGCGAGCAGTGTTGTTAATTAACCTTATCTAAATATTTTTATTTTATACCCTGGGAAAAATTAACATGATCTACATTATTGCTTTATGACAGTGGGCAAGAGATTTCTTTTACTTTGTTCTACCCTTTTCTCTTATTTTCCAAATGGTAAAAAGCCCACCAACATGGTTTTACACATATAGTATTTTAATTTGATATAAACCTAAAATTTTTTATTTAATTATTGTTTTCTTGGTAAATCTCACATCTCTGGGTAATTTGTTTCTCATTGCATATCTGGTAAATACTCAATATATTTTATCCATTCCATCCATCACCTTTTCTTTGGTCATCTCCAAGGGTTCCGCTAGTATTCCTGTCATAATTTAAGGTTTTCTCCCTTTTCTTCCTCAATATTTTGAAATCTTTATAGAAACCAGCTTTTTCCATTTCCCAAAATATTGAATCTTTCCCTTTCTCACTTTCAACCCTTGTCAGTCTATTATCTATTTCTGCCACTTTCTTATCCGTTTTATCACCTCTTTCTTCCATCTTCTGTAATTTTTCTCCATATATTGTTAATACCTGTTGTATATTTCCTTCCATCCTTTCCTCTAGCTTCTCCATTCTATTCTCTGCACGCTTCCCTTGGTCTTGTATTACTTGTAACATAGATTTGATTTCTTGCATAGAAGTCTCCTTTTCTTTATCTTTCTCTTGTCGCAACATTGTAGTAATAGATCGTTGACCATCTGGGCTCAGCGATGAGGAAGTAGGAATTGATGATCCTGTAGGTATTCTCTTACTCATTATAATCCTTATAACTAAGTAAAGCAAAATCTCAGTGTAACATTCAGTCAGTCCAGAAAGCCAAAGTCAAAAGCAAATATCTCTTTCAAGGTCACACTGTTCTTTCTTTCTCTTAATCTTATTCAACTTTAAAGGCAACACCTGTCTTCAGCGCTGACTTATTATCTTTCTCTACTTGTCCGTAGTCAAAATAACTTGTTATTTGTTTGTTATTCTTAAGAAAAAGATTTTTCATGTGACCTCCAGATGGCAGTGTTGCTTAGCTTTCCTTATAGTTGTTCCTTAGTTACGCTGTATCTCTATACTCTAACCAGTGAAAGTAAAAAGAAAAGTCCAAAAAAAGAAAAAGAAAAGTACTTCGTATGTTTAAACTGAAAAAGCAAAAAAGATTCAATTTATTCTTGTTTTTAAGCTGTCCAGTCCAGTTATTTAAACAAAGAAGCCAGACAGAATAATCCTTCCCCCCCTCAAGAAATAAAAAAAAGTCCAGATAAGATTGACAGTTCTTGCCATTCGCTGCTATTCTTAGCTTTTCTGTCTTCACTTTCTTTATTAATTCTTTCATCTGATGTACTCCTTTATTTTTATTTTTTTTAAAAAATAAAAGTTTCTCACCCAAACCGACACACTGTTTCCTTTCTTTCTTTCTTCTTCCATTCCAGGGCTGGCACAGCTTCTTAATGGCTCATGATAAATGGCCACTTCCCTCTGATGCCAGACTGCAGGAGCTTTCCTGGATCTACCAGGGACTTTGCGATATCCCTGGGATTGACAGGATGTGCTCCTTTCACTCACTGTCTAACCAGGACAGTTCGGTTCCCCTGGGACTGTCTAGCTGCGGGGGTATCGGCAGCTTTCTCGGAGCCCCAAGAAACCCGTCTTTCTACTGCCGCTCAAGCCACACCCTCTTCAATATCTTCATTAATGACTTAGATGAGGGAATAGACGGGGAACTTGCCAAAGTTGCAGATGATACCAAGCTGGCAGGAATAGCTAACACCAAAGAAGATAGGCTCAAGATCCAGATGGATCTTGACAGACTAGAACACTGGGCCATATCTAACAAAATGATATTCAATGTAGAGAAAAGTAAAGTCCTACACTTAGGCAAGAAAAACCAAAAGTACACATATAGACTGGGTGAAACCAGGCTCAATAGCAGTAACTTTGAGAGGGATCTTGGAGTATTAATAGTCAACCAGCTAAATATGAGCCAGCAGTGTGCAGCAGCAGCCAAAAAAGCTAATGCAATCCTAAATTGTATTAACAGAGGGATACAATCAAGATCAAGGGAGGTACTAATACCACTCTATAAAGCCTTAGTATGATCACACCTAGAGTACTGCTTCCAGTTTTGTTCACCACATTATAAAAAAAATGTTGAGACTCTAGAAAAAGTACAGAGAAGAGCAACCAGGATGATTAGGGAACTGGACACTAAAACATATGAAGAACGGTTAAAGGAACTGGGCTTGGCTAGTCTAGTAAAGAGAAGGACCAGGGGAGACATGATAGTGGTCTTCCAATATATGAGGTGCTGCCACAGAGAGGAAGGGGTCAAGCTATTTTCTAAAGCACCTGTAGGCCAGACAAGGAATAATGGATGGAAACTGAACAAGGAGAGATTTAATCTGGAAATAAGGAGAAACTTTCTGACAGTGAGAACAATCAACCAATGGAACAGCTTGCCCTCAGAAGTTGTGGGAGTGTCATCACTTGAGACGTTCAAGAATAGATTGGACTGCCATTTGTCAGAAATGGTGTAGGGTCTCCCGCTTGGGAGGGGGGTTGGACTAGATGACTCACAAGGTCCCTTCCAACTCTTGATTATTTGTTATCTGTTATTTCAGTGTCCACATATTAATTGAAATGGAGAAGAGTAGCTTTCAAAGCAACTTGATTAAAGTCACGCACTACAATAAATGCACCCTCCAAGTAATTAGTTTGTAAGTATGATGGTATGATAGAGAATATTCAGGGCCCCATTTCTGTTTGCTCAAGGAAGAATATACACAGCTGTGATAACGATAACAGAAAATTCCCTAGGCAGATAGTCAAAAGCTCCACATCAGGGAGCACAGACTGGAAAACATCTTGGCATATTGCGCTATCATTTATATAAAAACAGACACCCCCTCCACAGTATTTGCCACCAAGAGAAAAACTTCAGTCCAGCTGAATTTTTGAAAATCCCATCAAGCTAACAGCAGTGGTTAGAGTACAGTACTGCAGGCTACTCCTACTGCAATTTGGCAGATCGAATCCCACCAGGCTCAAGGTTGACTCAGCCTTCCATCCTTCTGAGGTGGGTAAAATGAGACTCAAATTGTTGGGGGCAATATGCTGACTCTGTAAACCGCTTTGAGAGGGCTGTAAAGCACTATAAAGTGGTAGATAAGTCTAAGTGCTATTGCTATTATCTGCGACATAATGCATGTTACTTTGTGTAAATAAGGGAAGAGAAGGAAGACAAGCCATGCATATTTTTGGAAAGTTCCAGATAAGAAACTGAGAATTTGTAAATATATCATGCATGTGTCTCTGTATGTGTACTATTAAATGAAACCTATACAGTACTGACAGCGTATTTACAGTTCTGCAACTGTTGGTGGGTTTTGAACACATTTTCATACATATATTGGAAAAAACACCTTTTTATAAGCTTATAACTTCCATTTGTTTATGCATTTTCACCTTTTCTGGTTTTCCTACTATAAAACAAGTTTATAGTAGGAAACTATAAATTCTACACTTATGTTATTCTGAATTAACACTATATTATGCAGGATAATGGGATATAATACAATGTCCAAATAAATTAATTTAGGAAGTTGTTCATCTGAACCCATTTTGACAAAAAGATGTAATATGTAATTTGCTAGGATGTAATATGCTAGGATCTTAATTATTTAATTTTATGTCATTAAAAGCAATCCCAATGCATACTTATCTATATGTTAGATTAACATCTGATCTTTCCTCAGAAGTATAAAATGGTATAAATAATATCTATTGCTTCAATTTTATTCTCACCATCACCTTCCGAGGTCAATTTGCCTGAGAGAAAAGTTGACTAATCTAAATTTAGCCAGTCAGCATTTCCATAGCTAAGAATGGATCTGAGTTAGGACTTCAGTTTGACCAGTCCTCCATACTGAGACTATGCCATCTTCTCATGGAAGCCATGATACCAGGAATGGGATTCTACTAGATTGGACCAGTTCGAGTGAACTGGATGTTAAATTTGCATTTGATTCGCCAAACCGGTATTTGAACCAACCTGCTGGCCCCACCTGCCCCTCCCCTCCCAGGAGTCTCTGCATGGCCCATTTTAAATGCAGGTAAGTGCAGGGTTTGTACGGGGGCTCTGGGAGGGGGGAAAATGGGCCTTCTGGAAGTACCAGAAGTCATGAAATGGGCCTGTTTCTGGCTTCTGGAGGGCTTCCAGAGCCCAGGGGAGGCTGTTTTTCCCTCCCAGAGGCCCAAGGGAAGCCTCTGGAGCCTTGGGAAGGTGAAAAATGGCCCTTCTGGAAGTTCTGGCAGGCCCTGCCCACCATGCCCATGCCCACCCAGCAACTGGGCAACGAACCTGTTGCTGGGATTTTTGATTCCCACCCCTGCATGATACCCCAAAGATACACTGGCAAAGTAAAATCCTCATGAATCCTGAGGTTCTCGAGGGTCATATCTTTGGATTTTTTCAATACAGCTGAGACCATTCTAGCAAGCTTAGCTAGGAAGATTATCAGGAAATGTATGGTGGTCATCATCTTCATTTTGTTTCTTTGGCCCAATGTCAAATGAAAAAGCTCACATCTTGCTACAGAGTAAATTCAAATGCAATTTTCATAATTCTCTATCATCATGTCTATTAAGTGTGATAGCTAGGGAATTCTCATATTATGGCAGTCAGTGGGAAGTACCAGCATACATCAACTGTAAGACACTTTTCTGTCACTTTTAAACTTTCATTTTGTGGTGCTGATGATGTGGTTGCCATGGCTCTTGGATGCTACAAATTTCTCAGTGATCAATGAAGGTAGTGGTATCATTGCATTGTGTAGTCTTAATTACTGAAATATTAACCAGGCCAACAGAAAATTATTGTTATGTGTGTTGATGTGTTGAGATTCTTTATTTTTGACTTTATGATATATTATTATTATCTATAGAAAGAAAACTAAAGACTATGACTTTAAGGGCAAATAAGGTACTTTGAAGAACAAATCCTATATTGGAACTTGATGTAATAAAACTACTTAGAAAAAGGTATCTGTATGCTTGTCATGTGGGTAGCATAAGTCTCCTTCTGTTTCCCGTCCTCCTAATTGCCTTTTTTTTCACATTTTGAAAAGGCTCTTTATTTTTCACACTCTTGTTCCACTTTGTGCTTGGTGGATACTTATGCCATTTGACAATTTTTGAATCTGTATCAATTCATATTGGAACATGAGCTATGGAACTGCAGAAATAAAAAAAACAAAAGACTAAAAAGTAGATAGTGTGTCTGTTACTCAGCACAAGGAAATATATATCTATATAAAGCTAAAAGTTAGTGGTGTGGTGGCCTAGAGGTGGAGCTCTCGCCTCACAATCAGGAAGCTGTGAGTTCAATCCTAACTAGAGGCAGTTATTCTCTCTCTGGGCATGTTGAGATTATATCTGCTGAATATAACTTTGCATTGGAGACAGGAAAGGCATCCGGCCAGTAAACACTCAGCTCCATTCAGTTGCCCAGGGTCATTAAAAGATGATGATGATGATAAAGCTAAAAGTTAGCATTGTTTTATTCACAGGAATCACCCTCTGTTCACTAAGTTATGTATATGCCATAGATAGTTAGAAATGGGAAAAGTTTAGTTGAAGTTACTGACAGTTAAATAAAGAGCTGAACTCAACTCCGGTCTCGAGTCTACTTTGTTCTGGTGATAGAGCACTATCATCTATCTATCTATCTATCTATCTATCTATCTATCTATCTATCTATCTATCTATCTATCTATC